GTCTCTCTCTGTCCCAAAAATAAAATAAACGTTAAAAAATAAAATAAATAAATAAATAAAAGTATCTTGTTTTAAAAGAATTTGCTTCCCAACTAACAGCTAGGCAAAGGATCTAAACAGACACCGCCTCGAAGAGGATACACAGATGAGAAATACGTACACAAGAAGGGACTCCGTGTCGTGTAATTCCCCGACGAGAGAAGGGCACATTAAAGCCACAACAACGAGATGCCCCCGCTCACCTGTCGGGATGGCCAGGATCTGGAGCACTGACCACACCGACGCTGGCGAGGATGTGCAGCCCCCCGAGCCCACTCACTGCTCACCGTGCAGCCCCTGCAGAAGACAATGGAATAATGGAGAGCAGGAGAGAGAGACCCCTCTAGCAAGTTCCCCAAAGACATGCAAAAGTCTTAAATGCACGTCACTGAGTGAAAGAAGCCAGTCTGAAAAGGCCACAGACCGTGCGATTTCAACTCTAGGACATTCTGGAAAAGGCAGGACTCTGGAGACAGTAGGAGGACCAGCGGCCGCCAGGGGTTGGGGAGGAGGGAGGGATGAACGGGAAACACGGAGGGTGTTTAGGGCAGCGAAGCCCTCTGCGTGAGGCTATAATGGTGGGTATACATCATTACCGTCCATTTGTCCAAACCCATAGAATGTCCATTTGTCCAAACCCATAGAATGTATCACAACCGAGAGGAACCCTACAGGAAACTGTGGACTTCCGTTATAAAAAAAAAACAACAACAACAACGTATCAGTGCGGGCTCTTCAATTTTAGCATACATTCCACATGAACGCAAGGTGTCACTCATGGGGAGAACAAAGACAGAAAGAAAAGTAGATAAAATTGTATTTCCTTGTAACCTGCAGCCTTGGCTTGCGAGCACAATTTGTTCCAGAAACACGCTTGTAACCCAAAGTTCTGCATGGGGGCCATGGTATACGCTCGCACGGATGTCGACTACAATACAGTATTAATAAACTCTTGTCATAGACTGTATTTAACGTAACCGGCAATAAGGCAGTGGAGGAAAGGGTCTATATCCGCAGGCAGCCTGACCTAGAATGAAGCAAAGCATTCCTGAGCTCACTCTTGGGTGGAAAAGCAAAGGACTGTCCAAAATGTGACAAAAATTACCCTAGTGCCAATTGTGGGCACCTTCCAAGGTTTTGAAAAATCACTGATTTCTGCCAAACACCGTGGCCTGAGACCAAGCATCTGAGCATAGGAGACGATCATCCACAATCCCCCAGCGAGAGAGAGAGAGAGAGAGAGAGAGAGAGAAACAGAGAACCACTGGATCAGTTGTGATCACGTGACATTAGGCATCATGTACTACTCGCGTCGCAAGACCTCGCTTGTTTATCAAGTTAAAATTTATTAGAAATGTTTGCTCGAGCAGGGGAGGGGCAGAGAGAGAGAGGGAGAGGGGGACGCAGAATCCGAAGCAGGTTCCAGGCTTCAAGCTGTCAGCACGGAGCCCGACGCGGGGCTTGAACCCAAGAACCGCGAGATCACGACCTGAGCCGAAGTCGGTGCTTAACCGACTGAGCCACCCAGGTGCCCCGTGTTCTTTAACATCTGAAAATCCTTTTGGAAACTTTCCCGCATCTTTACCTCCCCCAACTCCAACGTATATGATCAGTTGCCCCTCACAACCCTAGTGCGGCTCTTTCTGCCCACGGGCCCTATCCCCGTGCTTTAATAAAACCACCTTTTTGCATCCAAGACATCTCAAGAATTCTTTCTTGGCCGTGGGTTCCAAACCCCCATCACCCCAAACCACACCGTTACTAATAGGGGAACTGGGGGGTGGGGAGGGGTGGGGACTGAGGAGGTAAGAGGCATATCAGAACTCTGTAGTTTATATTCAGTTTTTCTGTAAACCTAAAACTACCTTAAAAAATAGTCTATTCGTTTAAAACACAAAAGAATCTCTTTCTGCCGTATGTTAAAAATGGATTTCCCAGTTTTATTCAAAAACACCTGTAACTGCCCTTCGAATTTGATAAAACTCTAATTCAGAGCGTAGGGTCTCGCTAAATATCCCACTTGGCTTGGGGAGGCTGCCCCCAGGTCAAGGTACTGTTTTTCTGTGGCTTTGCATAGGAGTGACAATGACTCCAGCACCTTCCTCCGATCCGACCTGTGTCTGAAGCTGGCCTGTCCCTGGTCTAATCGCGCCTGTGCCTAGAGTCACCTGGGGATGGGATCAAACCCCGGTTCTGAGTCCCAGGGACGGGTGGAGAGGCTGCCTTCCCACCAGATCCCCTGAGGTGGTCTGGTCTGAGGACGACCCAAGACTATAAAATAAAGCTTTGCAATTCAAACGATGCCTCGAGGGGTAAACCAGCAGCATTTGGTGAATTGGAAAATCGGATTCCAAACCTGGCTTGCTAATTACAAGCTGGGTGGTCCTGAGAAAGTTCCCCACCTCTCCGAGAACCACAGGGAATTCTTCTGGGTTCCAGGAAGGTTCCTGGGGAAAACACACAGCTTGTGTCCACTTCTACTGCAGTCATTTTGGCCCCGGCAGCAATGAGAGGGCCACCAGTTAGCCCCACCGTGTCCCCAACTCTCCTGGGTTTTGTTCTGAAAGTCCCAGATCCTGGGCAGTCCCTTGGCCCCAGGCACACCAGGACAGCTGGTCACCCCGAATTATTAGTTGCTTTTGTGCTAGCCAAGAAGACAAAGGACCACTGAGATTCTAGCTTCAGGGACGGAGGCCAGACTGAGGGATCAGGCCTTGGGGGATGAATCTCTCAGCTGCTCAGGGTGACTGGTAGGGGGAGTCAGGAAAGAACGCAGGATCCTCCCCAAAGCCTGGACAATCTCCCCCGCTACACACACACACACCGGAGGAGTCCTGGGGATGCACACAAGCCCTGTCACATTGGAACAAATGTCCTTGGGGTAGATTTAGAGACAGAGAGGCGTGAGTCAACCCACAGGCAGGAAATCTCCTTTCCAGACCTCCTTCAAATGCCGCTTTCCTGACTCATTACTTTCAAAGCACATTTAATTTTGCAAACAAAGCCGAGAAGTCCTTCCGGCAGTGGCCCAGCTGGCCCCTGGGGCCCTGTGTGTCTCTCTCCCTCCGCTGAAGTTCAGAGTTGAACTTGAGCAATCGGGCAAGGCAGGATGGAGGGGAGCACGCACGCACGCACGCACGCACGGGAGGGAGGCTCGTGGTGCTTTAATGGGAAAAGCCTGGAGTCTTACAGCCTTGTCCTGACTCTCAGAGGTTACTCAGGGCACTTAAGTTCACCTTGGAGGCATTTGTTTTCCAGTAGGAGCTCTTATAAACTAAGTCACTGAGAAGGAGAGTATTCTGTAACGCAGTTCAAACTTTTGAAGAAATAGTCCAAAGACTAGGGGTCGTGTTGCGTTCAAGGAAGCAATATTTGATATTTCCTGGTCTCCAGTAGATGCTGAGCTAGAGGAACCGTGGGTCTCTCGAAGCCTGGCCTGTCCCCCTGGCTCCCAAGCACAGAGTGTTGCCCACCTGGCCGATGTGATGGACGAGCAGCCGGCACCGAAGAAATGGTCAGAAGAGGGGGGGTCCGTAGGGCCTGGCCTGGCACCTGCTGGAACGCCTTCAGGGCACGTCCAAGGTCTCCCCTGATGGGGAGACAGACAGTCAACGATAGATCAATCGACTGCGAGGGCTTTGGCAGATTCTGTGTCCCTCGGGAGGGGTCCTGGCGTGCACCTTGCTGCTTGTGCCGGGACGCGTTTGTCTCCGAGTCGAATCTGCCCGGATTTCTAATTCGTTCTCTGTGACTGTTTGGCCACGATGGGGTAAAGGGCAGCGAGACTCCCCCTCTGAGGGGCACTGAAGCCTCCCCAGGCAGGGATCCCCACTCAGACCCACAGGGAAGATTTAAAGCCTGGACATATGGCCTCGACCCCTGGGGCGGTGGGGCCGGGCACCATTAAGTCCAGAAGCTTCCCAGGTGATTCCACTGTGCGGCCACCGGAGAACCATGGCGGGAAGCCACACCTGCTTTGCTTGGTGAAGGGAAGGCCGGTTTTGAGGGTGGGTTCTCCTGGAGCTTGAATGACCAGAAGGAAAGGAAACACAGGAGGGCCCTGGTGGCTAATGGCTGCTTCTGATAAAGTTACTCCAAACAGAGACCAAAATTGTATTCGAAACCCGGGGGCTTGTTTAGATGAGGACGGCTGGGCCCCACCCCCAGACTTCCCACTAACAACCTGTAGCCCTAACCGGCCCCCAGGTGCTCCTGCTGGTTCAAGGACCTCGCATCTCACTCTGCTCTAAACAGAGATAAAGCTCCCAGGCCCTGAGCTGGGCTGCACCCGCGGGGCCCGCCCGGGACACAGGAGGCTTGCGTGGCCCACAGCCAGTTTCGAGCAACACAAGGGCCTGGCCTGGCAGGGGGACGGGGCGTGGCTCCTGGAAGGCGTGGGGTAAGTGCTTGACATTGAGCTTTGACTCCAAGGCACCCACTGGAAGCCGTCCATCTCGCAGGAGCACATTGCCTGCCGGGTCACAGGCCAGGAGCAAAACGGCCAGATGGGCAACTAGGTCCCCCACCTGGAGTTCCCCTTTCAGAAGACGCGGCCTCCGCGCTCCTGAACCCTAATTCCCCTCTTCTGTTTCAGGTTAGCCAACAGTGAGCCACCCCGCCTTTGGACCCTCACAAAGGGAGAGCCCAAGGTCCACATTCTGTCTCTCTCATCCCCTGTGACCTTGCTGTGTGCGCCTGGGCATGCCGTGTACCCTAGGACTTGTGGCTGATAAATCTGGTCCCTCCGAGGTCCCTGTGGTTTTGCTGAATTCCACCCTGAGCCACAGGCCGGCGGGAGGGACCCCTCTGTCTGCTGCCCCGAGGGCCAACTTCTGCTCCCCCAAACTCCGAACCCCTCACGAGGTTGAAGCCTGAAGGCTTCTTGCCCAAGCTGGGGACGGGTTCCTCTGAGCGCTCTCTGCCTCGGACAGGCTGCTTCTCGGTGCTGGGGCCCAGGTTCCAGGTCTGCCTAAGCCAGTCTTCGGGAAGAATCCCGTTCCGTCACCGCCACCCCCGCTGCCACTGATGTCTGCTCAGGCTCCTCGGCCCCCGCCTTCGGTGTCTTAAGTCCTCGGCTGCCTCTAGCCAGAATCCCTGTCCCCTGGCGTCTCGCGTTGGTCATTCCCACCCACGGACCCCTCGCTGCGCAGGGCTGCAAATGCCCAGCTGCCTCTGCTGTGTTCGGAGTTGCGTCTGGTGCTTTCCTCCATCCCAGTAGCACCGGAGGGTCTGTCTCTCTCAGCTCAGGCCAGAGTCGGCTCTGTTCCTCTTGGGCCAGCCAGCGCGAGGCATGTCCATCAACCGCCGGCTCCCGTGGGGAGCACCGCTCACCGACCCCTTTCCCCGGGGGTGGGCAGGGGCAGATTTTGCCGCAAAGCGCTCCCACGGGCCTGCCCCGTTCGCAGCCTGGACCGCTTGGAATTAACACACTCCCCTCCATGCCTGTCGGGGCCTCACCCCCGGGCTTGCTGTCCCAAGAGCCCAAGCTAGAAAAGGCCTCCAGAGTGCCTACCCTTGCGGCGACCTGTGGCAACCTCGAAGGCCAGAGAACCCTCTCTCTGGCCACACTGCCCTGGTCACAAAGGAAGAGTCCCCTGCAGGGCCAGCCTGGCAGGCAGGGTTCGGCCCTCCCTTTCTGCCCAGTGCCAGGGCAAGGACGTGCCTGGGTGGGAGGACAAAGCCCGACTGTCCTCCCGTCCCCCTTCTGCCGGGAACTCAGCATGAGGACGTGTGTCAGGGCTGGAGCAGAGGGAGGATGTCGGGGCGGGGAGGGCTGACGAGAGCCAGATGGCCAGCCCCCTGCTGTCCGCAAGCGTCCCCAGCAGGAGAAAATTGTCCTGCGATTGTGTTTAATGACGGGTCACGTCTGCTGTGAAACCGGGAGGAAGTGCTTTCTGGGGCTGGTGAGTGGGGGATGAGTTTTCTTGGAGTGGTCTGTGACTGTCAGCAAAGGAAGTGAGTGACTGATGTGCCCCGCTGGGGGCCCCAGGGCGGAGGATCACCACCAGCCGCCCATGGCTCGGCCCCGAGGGCATCTCCCGGTCCGGAAGCTTCGCCCGCTGCCCTGGTCGTTTCCAGAGGGCCTGCCGCTCCCGCTGCGACACGGACAGTGGGTCCGTGTCAAAAGTGCCGCCTGGAAAGTGGGTCCTCCTCTGTCTTCTTTGCTCAGGTGGGACCCACCGGGAAACTCCAGGGCCCTCACGGGTCTCTCCCTCGCATCAGGCACAGCACCCACCCTGGAGCCCTAGGGCTGTGGTTCGAGGGCGACAGGAGGTCTCCCTGAGTCCCTGCACGTCCACGATTTCAGCAGGAGACATTTGATCCTTTGCGTCTCACGGACACACAGACCCTGGGGAAGCACATAGGGTTTCAAACAAGGGATGGGGCTTCGAGGAAAGAAGGGCTCCACCGTGTTTCCAACACATCTGACGGAACACCAGGTTGCATGAGGTTAAACAGACCTCCTAGCAGCAGGACTTCTCAGGGCCTTTGTTTCTTTGGTAATATTTACAGAAGGCCTGAGGTGGCCCAGGCACAGTGCCCGGTGCAGTGCTCATCCAGAGGGCTGGGCACTGGGAACTTTCTGGATGGATGGATTTGATGGCTCTGGGCACCTCACATGAGTTCATTCCCTGGCAGTCAGCGATGTAAACACCTGTTCATGTGCTTGTTGGTCACGTGTATGTCTTTCTTGGAGAAAAGTCTACCTTTGTCCATTTCTTTTTAAGTGTTTTGTTTAAATTTTTTTATTCATTTATTCATTTTTGAGAGATAGAGTTCAAGTGGGGGAGGGGCAGAGACAGAGGGAGACACAGAATCCGAAGCAGGCTCCAGGCTCCGAGCTGTCAGCATGGAGCCCAACATGGGGCTCGAACCCACGAACTGTGAGATCATGACCTGAGCCGAAATCAAGAGCCACATGCTTAACCGACTGAGCCACCCAGCTGTCCCTTAAGCTTTTTATTTTGAAGTTTATTTATTTTGAGAGTGAGAGAGAGTGTGTGTAGTTCAAGGCGGGGGGGGGGGGGGGGGGGGG